CTTTGTACATTTTTTTTTCCCACAAGACAGAATAGTCTCATTTGGGGAATCATAAGAAAAAAATTCCTTCTGTGATGTTGGTGCTTGTACCAATTGCCCATAAAGCATTTACAGAGGAGCTATGCATATCCTGTCTTTAATTCCTGGAATGTGCAGAGTCTCACTGACACCAGCAATAGCACATCTCCCACCAGGCTTGATCCAAATATGTGCCTGTCTCCTTTGAGGCAGAGAGGAAGTCTAGAAAATGACATGTCTATTTGGGTGACTGGTGACTGTGTGGAAGCATATATAGCAGCAAGTCTCCAGTAGGGTTGGCTTTCAGCAAAATATCCAAGTCACAAACACTTGGCACAGGTACATTTTGGTTATTATTTTAGCTTGCTTTTTTCTAAACCCAATCCAGACCTCACTTCCATGTGTCCCAAGCTGCTCGCGGTGCCTTGCTGTCTTCTCAGTCCTACTATCTTAAAGAGGATGGTGGCTGGCCACACAGTCGTATACACTTTGTTGGAAATTGCTGACAATATATTCTAATGTTATTGTTTATACAGGTAATTAACTTAAAAAGGTAATTATTTTTTCATATACCCCCTTCTTTTTCTTTATATTATTTTAAATTATAGAAAATACATGCCTTTTGTAAAATGTTACATTGATATAGAGGAAGATACAATAGAAATTGAACATCCTCTTTTATCTTCTCTCCCACTCTTCAATCACGCACTCTTTCCCAGAAGTAACCACATTTAAGAATTGGTGTCAGTGGTCTATCCTTCCTTTTCAGCTATTGTTTTTGACCGTCTTTTACTTAATTGAATGTTTATTAGCATGCCTATGGGAAAATAGATGAACACATTTAGAATGATATCTCTTGAATGCAGGTATTTATGTGAATATTAGCGCAGGTTTGGTGGAGGGTAAAGAGCTATACTGTACCTGAATTCCAGCTTCTTTTGAGAGCTTTCCATTAATTAGGACAGGTCAATGTTTCCCCAGTTACCATGGCTAACTCAATGCTGACTATCATACAGATTGGTTTTACAGATTATAACATTGGGTATCAGATTTTAAGAAAAATTATTTTAAAGAGTTTCCTTGTATTCTACAGCAAGAAAAAGATCCAATTGGGAGAATAAGAATGAGATAAAGAATCTGAGCTGACACCAAAATGAAAGCCTGTGTGCTGTGAGAAGCATTCAAATAATTTTTTAATGAACTGGTTCCTTTGACTTATTTTAAGATCTATATGTAGGGGGTAATAAATGCATGACAGGAATAGAATAGATGGAAAAAAATTAAACAAGATTCTGCCCCATTAGTTCTGACTGACAAGGAAAAGATAATAGCCAAAACGCAAATGGAGTTTGTTAGCAGAGGGAGATAATGATAATGGGACTTTCACAAATATATCAGGGAAGAAATAGATAAAAGTTTTTGAAAAGTTCAATAATCAGCAGAGATGGACATAACATGAATGACTCTAAAATGGCTGATCTTCTAGTGTTTAAATTCTGTAATTATGAAAGAAAATAAAGGAGAGTTTAGACCACCAATGAAGAATGAAGAAAATTGCAAACATGGCTACTAAAAATGCAGATAAATGACAGTCTGTACTTGGAACTTAGATATATCAGCACATCTGGTTGGTATGCCTCCTTTCTTGGGTAATACAAGAATTAGCTAATGTGTTTACCAAACTACTTATGATGCATAATTTTTATAAGATAATTGTGCTGATTTAACATGAACTAAATATCTAAATGCATTGAACTCTGGAGCTGCCAATTTTCAAAGAAAGAAAGGAGGGAAATTTCAGTAACAAATATTTGAAGGCACCAGCTCTATGGTTTTATTCTTTAAGTTGACCCCTCTCCACTTTAGCTCAGAAGGCCAATAGTTGAAAAGGATTATGCATAATCCCTTATCTGATGTGAATTTAAGCTAAGAAAATGTAGGCACATTCTTCATCTCATTTCCTTCTCACTCTTGTTTGCAAAAAGGGAAAAAAGCTGTGTTAGTTTATCAAACTCAGGGAAATAATATGGAGGACTGTCTAGACTCCAAAGCATGTCTCCACAGAGGGATCAATTGAAATACGGGAGAAAAGCAGTAGCACTTCCCTTTATCTCTTAATCTTCTACTTCTATTAATATATTCTCCAAAATGAGAAATGAACTAAATTTACTGAAATTTAATGTATTGGTTGGCTTGGATATATTTATTTCAGTGTTCCACAACAGGACATGTTGGTAGACGATTGATGACTTGCTTGCTTTCAGCATCTTGCAACATTTTATAGCCAATCTGTTAAGTGGTTCTATTTTGTAAAAGTAAGCAATTAATTTTTTAGAAATGGGGGTCTCACTCTGTTGTCCAGGCTGGGCTGCAGTGGTACAATCATAGCTCACTGCAGCCTCAAACTCCTGGGCTCAAGTGATCCTCTCACCTCAGCTTCCCAAATAGGACTGCAAGCATGTGCCACCATGCTTGGCTAACTTTTTCTTTTTGAATTTTGTAGAGATGGGGTCTTGCTATCTTGTCCAGGCTGGTCTCAAACTCCTAGGCTCAAGCTATCCTCCTGCCTTGGCCTTCCAAAATGCAGGGATTATAGGTATGAGCCACCTCTCCTGGCCTTATATGGTTTTATAGACAATTTTATCCTGTGTGCATCTCAACCTTTATATGGCAAGTGGACTAAAAGATTCTTGCAAAGATACCAAAGATGAAATATATTAAAAACGATGTAAACAACAGACAAGGGTCAGAAAAAAAAAAGCAGAGCTGACATTTTTGCTACCCCCTACAATATGAGTTCATGGTTCGTCACTTAAGAAGTAAAAGCAATGACAATCTAATGATCTAATTCTTGGACATAAAGCTTGAAAATGTTCTAGAAGACTTTTTGACATGTGAATTGATACCCATAACAAAGGTATTAGCTACTAATAGTATGAAGTCATCATAATTTGCAGAATGTTTACAAGTAGTTTTATTTAACTTTGGTATAGTTTGTTTTGTTTCAGTCCTCTAAGTCTCATGTTAAAGTTTGATCCCCAGTGTTGTAGGTGAGGCCTAATGTGATGTGTTTGGGTCACAAGGGTGGATCTTTCACTAATGGCTTGGTACTGTCCTTGAGGTTGATGAGTGAGTTCTTGCTGTATTAGTCCCCCAGAGAGCTGGTTGTTAAAAAGAGGCCCCACCTTCTCTTGCTTCCTCTTTCTTGCTGTGTGATCTCTGCACATGCCTGCTCCTGTTTGCTTTCTGTCATAAAAGAAAGCAGCCTGAAACCCTCATGAGAAGCAGATGCAGGTACCATGCTTCTTGTACAGCCTGCAGAATGGTGAGCCAAATAAACCTCTTTTCTTTATGAATTACACAGCCTCAGGTATTTATAGCAACACACAAGTGAACTAACACACACTTTATTTCATCTTTTAAATTTTCTAAATTTGCTATGTGTGTAAGATGTATAAATAAGTATCTATATTTCTGGAATGCTTGCTAAACATTTATTGATGGCATACTGAATTAAAAATGCTTGAAGATCACTGTATGTGAGAATGCATTTTAAAAAGAGATGCTGTAGTGATTCCCCAAGGAGTGCTCTATGAAGTGTACGTGTGTTTATTACCTTGTATGTCATATTTAGGTGTAAATTTCATGTACACAATTTGCAGTTGCTAAATTCTTGTGCCTTTCAATGAATTCTTCTACAAGTTGGTCATGGAATTCTCTGTTCTTCTATGGTGTGGAAATATATGAAGACCAACCAAAAGTAGAGACTGTTTATTCAGAGATTGTTATAGCAAGGGAGTCAGCTACCATTGCTTGCATTTTAGCAAAGACTGAAAGGCAAGCAGAAGGGTAGGAAAGCTCTATAGTGGAAAAAAGGGAAGGTTTCAGGTATATTCTGACTGAAGGTTGTTGGCATGGGGAAGCTGGTAGGCAGGGTAACTAGAAGTGGGGCATCCTATGTGATTGGTTAGGGGTACATATTTGGCTTTGTCTGATTGGTCTTAAATTAGAAATGGGGACAAAAATGAGGGAAGCTGTCAGGTTAACCAAATCCTCGCCATTTTGTGCTGTTATTGAAGTTATCATTAAGCTTCTTGGATTGTTACTAGAGATAGGAGTCTGACTTTCTACAAGTCTGATTTCTATTAGGCTGGTTTCCTGGGCTGCTTATGGTAGGTAAAGAGTTGGTTTCCTGGGCAGGTTGCTTCAGGTTGTGGGTCAGCATTCTACTTTTACATATGGTCCAGCCATTGTCCATTTGTATATTTATCTCTCAGTGCCTGTTTAGTTTTATGATGCTCCCTCTACGACTGTGCTTAAAAATGCCTTCCAAGATTTTGCATTAGTACTTTCTGTTTTGACAGTTTGCTAAAAATTATACAAAATGATTTAACATCATTTCCACCTTCTGAATGTTGCACAACGAAGACAATAGCGCTGAAATCACTGCTCTGGATACTGCTGGGTGCATGTTAATTCTTTTCAGCCTTTGGGGAGGTAGATCTACAGCATCTATAAAGCTCTGTTCCAGAGGGTCTCTGGAGTCTTTCTAATGCTGGGCCTAAGTAGAAAAACTGTGCTAAAAATAGTTAAGTATATTCCACGCACAGGTGCCCAGCTTCAACTATAAAGATGTTTGTTCCAAGAGGCAAAGTTCTTCTCATTTTCTTAGGATAAATGTATCAAATTGAGATAAAAATTATATTGCTTGTTAAGAAAAAAGAACATTTTAAAATTACCAGTTTTAAAATCTATTGAAATCACCATATACCTTGGTTCTTAAACAAGTATTTATTAAATTTTATTAAATATATTAAAAGTTTTAGCAATACATGCTCATGAAAGGGAATTTGGAACAAACAGAACAGTGAAAAGAAGACAAAAAGAGTTATGAAACCCAAAGGAATTATTTTGAAAGTATTTCCTTCTAGTCTTTTTTTTTTTCCCTAGATAAAGAATTTAAAAATAATATGTAGCAGTTCCCTCCAGCTGCAGAGAGCTTCAGTTTGCCTTTTTTTTTAAAACTAAAATGGAGGCTGGTTTCTTGCCTTAAGGAGCCCATTGCCTTTCCCGCTGAAGTTTAGATGTTGACATGTAATAAAGCGGGCAGCAGGATGGTGGTGGATGCGGCCAACTCCAATGGGCCTTTCCAGCCCGTGGCCCTTCTCCATATTCGAGATGTTCCTCCTGCTGATCAAGAGAAGCTTTTTATCCAGAAGTTACGTCAGTGTTGTGTCCTCTTTGACTTTGTTTCTGATCCACTAAGTGACCTAAAGTGGAAGGAGGTAAAACGAGCTGCTTTAAGTGAAATGGTGGAATATATCACCCATAATCGGAATGTGATCACAGAGCCTATTTGCCCAGAAGTAGTCCATATGTTTGCAGTTAACATGTTTCGAACATTACCACCTTCCTCCAATCCTACGGGAGCAGAATTTGACCCAGAGGAAGACAAACCAACGTTAGAAGCAGCCTGGCCTCATCTACAGCTTGTTTATGAATTTTTCTTAAGATTTTTAGAGTCTCCAGATTTCCAACCTAATATAGCGAAGAAATATATTGATCAGAAGTTTGTATTGCAGCTTTTAGAGCTCTTTGACAGTGAAGATCCTTGGGAGAGAGATTTTCTTAAAACCACCCTTCACAGAATCTATGGGAAATTCCTAGGCTTGAGAGCTTACATCAGAAAACAGATAATAATATATTTTATAGGTTTATTTATGAAACAGAGCATCATAATGGCATAGCAGAGTTACTGGAAATATTGGGAAGTATAATTAATGGATTTGCCTTACCACTCAAAGAAGAGCACAAGATTTTCTTATTGAAGGTGTTACTACCTTTGCACAAAGTGAAATCTCTGAGTGTCTACCATCCCCAGCTGGCATACTGTGTAGTGCAGTTTTTAGAAAAGGACAGCACCCTCACGGAACCAGTGGTGATGGCACTTCTCAAATACTGGCCAAAGACTCACAGTCCAAAAGAAGTAATGTTCTTAAATGAATTAGAAGAGATTTTAGATGTCATTGAACCATCAGAATTTGTGAAGATCATGGAGCCCCTCTTCCGGCAGTTGGCCAAATGTGTCTCCAGCCCACACTTCCAGGTGGCAGAGCGAGCTCTCTATTACTGGAATAATGAATACATCATGAGTTTAATCAGTGACAACGCAGCGAAGATTCTGCCCATCGTATTTCCTTCCTTGTACCGCAACTCAAAGACCCATTGGAACAAGACAATACATGGCTTGATATACAACGCCCTGAAGCTCTTCATGGAGATGGACCAAAAGCTATTTGATGACTGTACACAACAGTTCAAAGCAGAGAAACTAAAAGAGAAGCTAAAAATGAAAGAACGGGAAGAAGCATGGGTTAAAATAGAAAATCTAGCCAAAACCAATCCCCAGGTACTAAAAAAGAGTAACATGAAAACGCCCAGGGTTACTTGAATGTTTTTATAAGATAGGAATATATGTCTTCACCATGGCGGGGGGATGTGATTTCACTAACGTTGTGTATGAAAATGTCTGCAATAAAAAGTACTTTTAAACTTTGTAAAAAAAAATAATAATAATAATATGTAAATAGAGCTATTGTTTTCCAAGTTTTTTTTTGTTTTTTTTTTTTTTTGGTCTTCTTGCTCACTTCAACATATAGAGCATTCTGTTCTTACAAAAAGTTCTGCAAAGCATTCCCTGTAATTCTGCCCCATTCATCTTATACTCCTTATCTGGCTTAAGTGAGAAAATAAGAGGAGGAGGTAGCAGCTCACTTGCTAGAAAACCACATTGAATTGTGTCATTGTGTTTCTATTCTCCAACCTGTAGACTCAGGAGGAATTAAGAGAAAATGATGTGATTAACTACTTTTCTATATAAGCCAATAAAGATACATGCATATTCTATTACGATTTCCCTGCTCTATTCTTCCCCTCTCCTACTGTTTCCACAGCAGCATGGACCCTGAGGCTGACTTGTCTGACTACACAAAAGGAAAGAGGGTGTTGTACATTGATTCAAAAAGGGTGTGAAAATACCTGTATTATATGGGAAGACATAATATGCTTATAAGTAGGCCGAGTGCTGTGGCTCACGCCTGTAATCCCAGCACTTTGGGACGCCAACGCAGGCGGATCCCTTGATGTCAGGAATTTGAGACCAGCCTGGCTAACATGGTGAAGTCCTGTCTCTACTAAAAATATAAAAATTAGCCTGGCATGGTGGTATCTGCCTGTTGTTCCAGCTACATTGGAGGCTGAGGCAGGAAAATTGCTTTAACCTGGGAGGTGGAGGTTGCAGTGAGCCGAGATCACATCACTGCACTCCAGCCTGGGCAACAGAATGAAACTCTGTCTCATAAACAAACAAACAAACAAACAAACAAAATAATAATATGCTTATAAGTAAACATATTTTGCTATTTAATTTGAACATGATGTCATTAAACACAGTATGAATTTTGTTTTTGCTGGTATTTTCAACGCATGTGCTCCCTAACCTCTTTTATCCCTGAGGGTTATTTTTACCTACTTTGGGATATGAAGGAGTGGTAAAAAAGAATTTAGCAATGTTGGATTTACTGTAGTTGCTGTGAGTTTGTCCTGACTTCTCAACACTCGTGGGTCCATAGCTTTTCACAGATGGATATCCTTAACCAACTCTAAGGAGGTGGTCAATATCTATCAACAGCCATGGAGAAAGGGAACCATTCTCCATGGGCCAGGTAATTCTTTACCAGCACGTCTCTGAAAGAAGGGGTTTAGGTAGTGATTGTCAATGCCCCTTGGAGATAGGGTGTGGCAGTATGAGGGTGGGTTGGTAGATCAAGTATTGCACTCTAATCTGGTTACCTTGTATAACACAGGAGACCTCACTACCAAAGTATTAGGTGAGAAGACAGGATTCTAAAAATTGTAGAAGGGAATTTCATGGAAATTTTGATCTTTTGTTATGCACAGATTAAAAAGGAACTTCAGAGTTATGTTTGTCACCCGGAGTCAATAAACATCTGGCCTCTATTTAGTCTTGGTAATCAGTCTTAACACCAAAAGGCAAATGTCAACGTAAGGCAACAACTCGGGAGATCAAGACCATCCTGGCCAACACAGTGAAACCCCGTCTCTACTAAAAATACAAAAAATTAGCCGGGCATGGTGGAAGGCAGCTATAATCCCAGCTACTTGGGAGGCTGAGGCAGGAGAATGGCATGAACCTGGCAGGCGGAGCTTGCAGTGAACCAAGATCATGCCACTGCACTCCAGCCTGGGCAACAGAGTGAGACTCCATCCAAAAAAAAAAAGCATTCCACAGTTCTCTGCACTACCTTTCTTCTCTGACATCCGTCCTTTCTCGCCTTCCTTTTCCACAGCCCATAGCTACCTCCTTTATAGGAATCCTCTCCCCCACTTCAATTCTCTTTCCTCCCCATCTCTTGCATTTCACAGAATAGGCTACTCCTCAATACGGAAATAATGATATTCAGAGAACTCTTTGCACTTTGCCAGTTTTACACTGTATCTGCTCAGTGAATGCCAAAGCTTCTCTACCTCCTGATTTCTGCTGCCTCTGCAGAGGTCTTGAGGGGTGAGATGATAAAAGGGGAGTCAAACTTTTAACTCTGGCCTGTAGTTAGAGTTTATCTAATTTTTGCTACTTTCCTTATGGTCTGTTTGATAATTTTTCTTTTCTCTTTCTCAATATTTTCATCTTATGCAATGGGAACTAATAATCTTGACTTTGATCATATGATAAGAGCATTATTCATTCTTCTTGCTTGCTCTAGGAATGTATAGAACAAAGCTTTCCTACAATGACGGAACATGAAGGGCACCTGCCCAAATCATTTCTCATTTTATTAATCCATAGGAGTTTCTAGAATGCTGCTCTAGTCTGGTAATTCTGAAAAGAGTTTCCATGAATATTCAAGAAGATTATCCTACTAGTATAATAGTAATCGTAAGTATTTTCTATATTAGAATATTATTAACATCTTTGTTTCAGATTATATCCCATTCCATCCATGTTAAATAATTTGCTAAACATTTCAAATCATAGCTAATATTTAGGTTGTGGTTGATTAAATTGTTACATGTAAGACTGCTCTGAACATCTTGGCACATCGTTTATCTGAAGTTTAGATTAAAATAGCATCCCAAAACAAAAAGCTTTCTAATAAAAAGAGACTCTGGAAACACATAGTTCTTTTATTTTTTCCTTTATATTGATCTTTAAAAATCTACATAATACATTTTTTGGTATTATGTTATTAAAAATAATCCAATTAATATATGTTTCATTATAATACCAAAGGTCAGTGAATACTTATTTCCTCCATTGTGTCTTTCTATTTGTGTACTGTGTTAGTATTTAATAGGACACGTTAGTGAAACTTAATTTCTTATTTATTAAATTAAAAGTACATTCTTTTAATTGAAAATTAGTTAATGTGGCAGTTAAATAGTGAAATGTTAATTTGAAGAAATAGACTGAATTATGTGGTTACTTTCTCAAATATATTTTCTGAATTGCTTACAAACTGAAAGATATTATATTAAATTCTTCTCCAAAGGATTACACCTAACGGGTAATTTCAAAATCTGAACCAATTTATATAAAAATAGAAATAAATTAAGATTCTCTTTTGAATCATCTATAAAATAAAAAGGAATTATTATTACTTCAAAATTTTTATACCCATTAACACTTCCAGTAAAAGTGCTTAATCTCTGCATATTTCTTTATAAAACTTAGTTTAATTTTTGGGAAACCTGGCCATTAAATATAATGAGTAGAAAAGTAAATCATTTTTAGGTTTTAATTTGACATCTAATCAAATATGTAATGATCATCTGGGTTGTGCAGTGTAAATAGAAATACCAGGTAAACTCACTGCATTCAAAGAATAATCAAAATGAAAGAGGCAAAACATAGACTTATACAATGTTGATTAATTTATCTAAACCTCAGTTTAATTGGAGAATTGGACCATCTGAGTGTCACAAGTAATACTATATAAATACCAAAATTGTAATCAAACTTTTATGATGAAGTATAATTTGATAAACAGGCTAACTGTTTTGGGAGTGGGCTAGGGAGTGTGTCAGGGAGAACTCCTGAGACACAAGGGATTTTTATTCTATCCAAACCTCCCTAACCAGTGGCTATGTGGAGAACCCATGGAAGGTGTGTAAAGAACAAAGCTTTCCTACATGGACAAACTGTGAAGCATGTCCAACCCAAATCACTGTTCTTTTTATCAAGCCATAGGATGGCAATTGTGCAAGGAGGTTCCGCAACTATTTAGGAAGGTTATCCTGCAAATATAACACTGACCATAAGTATTTCATGATCCGCAGTTTCTCCAAATCAGTTTGGAGCACGTGAGTCCTGGTGAGGGAGTAATAACAATGGAAGACTAGCTTCAGAGAAATACAGAAAATCTGACAGAGGTTATTGCAATTTAAGCAAAAGTACCATGAAATTTATATGACAAAGATGAACAAGCATAAGGAGCAAACTTCATTTTCACTGAGTGTAATGGGTTGAATGGGCCAGATGCCAAGACAGATATATTAAGAAATATTGGGGAAAGTGTCTGGAATGATAAAAAGCATAGGGAACAGATACAGGTGGAGAAAGCCTTCAGATCATAATAAAGGTTTGACACCTATGAAAGGAGAAAGGGAGGAAAAGAACATCACTTTGAAAGAGACTCAGACTGCAGGACACATGGCATTGGAGAAAATCTCAACCAGGCATACAGCCAAATCAAGGCAGAGGCTGACTGTGCCAACTCCAACCATAAAGATTGAAGACATTTTAAGTAAGATCAAAAGTAAATTACACACGAAAGGGTGCTTTAATTTGTAGTAGCAGAAGATTACAAAGGGAAAGGAAATACATTTTAAAGACAGATGATTGGGATTTCAGTTTCTGGCAATATATGGCAGACTAGATGGCATAAAAATAACAATAGCAAGAAAATCTTGGGCTATAAAACAGCTGAAACTGTTTGATAAAGTATAGCAAAGGCATTTCTAAATGAAGATCTGACCATTGCAGAAAGTCAAAGGAGTCCTAGGGACCAAAGACGAAAAGGAGCCTGAGGAACTGAGCTGAATGTGAGAGTTAACTTTTGACTGCTTTGGGATGGAGGTGGAGTGCTGATTCTGAAAACTATAGGCATATATTTTAATGACCATCAGAAGGACAAGAGGAGCTGAATCTCTGGTCTGTGTAAGGAGTGGAATTAGAAGAGAAAAGGACTTTATCTTAAATCTCCACATATAGGAACCTAACAAATGAAAATGGTGTAGGAGAAGACAACTAAGCAAATATGAAGAAGTAAATACCAAACTACAAAGCTACCTTCCAGCCCAAGGAGAGGGGGAAAACAATCTTGTTTTTTTGACTTGTGTTCTGGGTGGGGGAAAAAGTGTGATATCATAATTATG